GGCATCTTTAAACAAAGGAATGAGACTATCTACTCGATCGCTTCCTTAATAACTCTTAGTCTCATCCATCGTCTTAACTTACTTCGAATTTTAATCGCTAAGAATATTCCTGTATGTATATAGTTAGATTTAAATGTTTTTTTTTATTCATGATATCAACAAAACCTATGTCATAGATTATATTCAATCCCTCATAGATTTGTCATCCGTTTAATTGAACTAAAAATAGAATTTAACGTTCGTGTCCGTCGGGTATACTGTAGAGTGTTTCTATTTTCGATATTTTTTCTTGGGTTTTCACCAACATTATAGCTAGTTTTACCAATTACAAAGATGTATTGTAAATGGTTGTTTTTCATCTGCTGTCATAAACAAAGGTATAAAACAAAGCTGGAAATTTTATCTCAAATAATAGAGAAACAGTTCTTTACCCAAAACAAGTGAGGCGTTTAGTCAAACACTTTCTCAGCTTGCACATCAAACAATCAACTGTTGTTCCTCAGTCGGTCTCATTTAACTAAATAAAATGTCTCCGATTAAACGTACTCTTACTCCCTTATGTAGACTTGCTATCCATTCGGATTAGCTAACGAAAATTTTAATCAATAGTTTTGTTTTTGATTGAAGAGGTGGTTTGGTTATTTGGTTTCTTTGTTATTTAACCCGAAAACTATAAACTTTCTACTGTAGTATATTACAACTGTATCGTTTAAAGGATATAATGTATAACAAACTAAGTAGTAAAGAAAACCTGACATTTATCTGCAACCAATCAATACAATGCGTGCTCCTTTGTCTGTAAAGGTTGAGCAACAAGTAAACTACTGCGGTTAGAACCGTCCATGCAAGTACATTCTTGCAAATAAGTAATTTTATTGTGACAGAGGCATAACGTAGAGTACCGGTACATTATCCTGAATATTAAAAACAATGATCAAAATTCCAAATGACCGTGGGATAACAGATGTTTCTTTAGCCAATGCCACTTGTTTAAAAACACCCAATAAAAAATAGCTAGGTACATTTAAAAAATAGTACAAATCCGGAGCCCTAACGATAATCACACAAGCATCATAACCACTTTGCAACCAGTTAAAAAGAACTATGAAGGTTCGTAAAATGTGTTTAAAATAATATAACATTATTTCTATATTTTCCACTAACTTAATAAATTATATTGAAAATTAATGAAATTGAGTTTGGCAAAATGACTTATAAACTGTGTGTTCTGTGATTACCTAAATTTATCAAATACCAACGTCGACTTCCAATAATTTGCAGCGTCTACTCTTTTCTTAAAACTAACACAAAATGTTACGTAACCTAAAAGATTAATTCAGTTGTCCAAACACTGACTTGAGTCAGATACTGCAAGTAGTCTTTGGCAATGTTCTAAAATAGGCACCATTTGTTGATGAAGTGCTTGATAAAGTCTGGTGAGCCTACAGAACATCGAAAGCGATGAAAAATGTCTCTCTTGTTTGGGAGTAAGATTAAAAATGTACTTTGTTCTTGGGCTATGCTTGGGCTATGTTAAAAGCAGAGAACAAGCAATAGTTAATAAATATTGTTATAACCTCGTTAACAAGACCCTCTATAACGAGTCATCCTTGATAACAAGTGTCCTTTTAAAATCCGCAATTTATTCTACCCATAATCGAATGCTATTGCAAACCTCGATGAGAAGTTAACCTTGATCAAGTCTTATTTTGTAATCCCCATTAGAGTCTTGTTATCGAAGTTCTAATGTATTTGGTAGCGATAGCTTCAAAGATAATATAAAATATATAAAAATATCAATCAAGAATATAAAAAATCAAACAAAACTACAACAAAAAATAAACACTCCATTTGCACATTGGAAACATTAAAAGTTTCGTCAACCCATAACGATGACCTATAAAAGGCTATATTTATTATAGCAAGCTATTTCATATAAATTGGATTTACAAATACTGTAAGGATTAAGGGGGTTTCAACAACCGAGGTCGTAGCCTCCTCTGAGGAGTCCATCCCGAGGAAGGTTACTATTACATTTTTATTACATGAAATAAGGAATTCAATTTTTACAACAAATAAATGAATATTCTTTTATGTACTAAAGCTAATATGTTCACATTCAATTATGCACATAATATTCGTTGAATTTAGTGTGTGGATTTTTGACAAATAAACAATGATATTACCGACAATTTGTCACTGACCAGAACTTTCATATATATTGTCATACTAGCAAAAGATTAAGTTATAGCTACTATTATTTACAGTTTGTCCGTTAAACAAACATACAAACAAAAACAGTGACATCTATTGGAGTAATTTGAAAAATAACGAATATTTTATACAAATTTAATAAAACATTACTATATAAATTTCCAGGCGTTGGTTCTCTTCGGACAGAATGAAGTAATATATATTAACCGCTGTTAAAACAATGAAACACACCCAATGCAATAACAGTTGGTTTTAATTGAAAATTCAAATACAGTGGAAAGTTTTGGAGGGTAGCACGTAAATAACTTGTTACTGTAAATCTCATTGCATTTCATCATGTCATTACTATTTATTGTCATTGGTTCTTTGATATTTGTTCTCAGAAGTTTGTTAACGTTTGATTTAATTATCTCAGTTGTTACAACAGTGAGAATTAAATAGTTCATAATTCGGTCTAAAGTATACGGTACGAAATTGTCACGAAGTCGAAACAAATATTAGAAATGCTTTAGACAGGTGACTTGATCGTTCAAATACATTCCACTAGGTTGCAATACCTAGCCCACAGCAGACTAAGTAAATTTCTATATACCTAATGAAAAAGTAAATTGCTCCTGGGACTAGGTCTTACCGTGCCACCTATGGTATAATAACTACGCCAATATAGGGAAATTCGCTAAAATTTGAAATTTAACGAAAGTATTTGGAAACTCAATTAAATATTTATTATCTGCTGTAACCATTTTTGTCTCTAAGAGGTCGTCGTGCATAGTTGAATGAACAACCCATAGAATGTGCCACTACTGAAGATATGTTTTCTCTTTTCATACTATTATAGAGAAACTAACTGATACTTAAGTTGGTGAAAGATTCTAAACTTTCCAATAAGTTGAACTTTCAGTTTAGCACGATCGAAAAGTTGGAGTGTAAGAAACAATACGGCACTACTCGGTCGGCGTCTCAATTGAAGAAAGTTCTTTTTGTTATAACTCTCTAATAGAGCTGTATATTTAAAACAACAGAATGGAAATTATATTGTACAGGAGACAATTTATTATGGTTAAATCTAGTAGGTATCTAGTAGGTGTCATGTTTACATTCGATTGAACGGTATTTAAAAATGGTTTTGAAATAATACTACAGTATAGTGATCTATATCGTTAATAATTTATTGTATCTGTTCTAGATTTGAACGAAACTAATAAGATAAATTTGTTGTTTATTATAAAATATAAAGAAGTTCAAAGAAGTATTCAACAATGTAGACATGTGTAGTAATATGTAATGGCGGCAAATATGGAACATGCTCAGAGACTGACAATTGACGAATTTAATTGCTCAATGAAATAATTGTTTCCTCACTTATTAGTCGTTCACCGTAGTTTGTGCAACTCACACAAATGGGTGAGAAGTGTTTTTAAAGTTAATTAAAGTTTCTTAAACCGAAATAACTCTCAAAGTATAACACCCGAAATAACTATAACACTTATAAATTTTCAAGTGTAAAACACGTATCCGAACGTTTCACCTACTTGTTTAAAGTATTAAAATTAAGATAGGAATTGATCAGTTACCGTAAAGGCCATGTAAAATTCATCAAATGTATCTACTGTATATACGACACAAAAGTCAATATTGAAAAAATTGTAAACTAAATGTATTTTAAATTCAATTATGAATGCAAAGTTACATTTTTCTATAAAGAAATCTATTTCAGTAACAAGCTTTATCAACTAAATATTTATTCCCACTAAAGTGTCATATTATATTACACTTTGTGTATCTTCACTGTTAACTGTTCTGACCATAAATGGAATAATGTTTTAAAAATGAACTGTTGAAGCTTTTAATTTGCTTCAGTATATAGTTAATCATACTTTATAATTGTAACTTTTACTTATATAAATAAACTTGTGTTATCGATTTAAACAATCACTTGAACTCAAAATAATTCAACCATAAATCAAGTAAATTTCTTTGTGCATTCTTATAGTATAGAAGGATAAAAGTTTGTACTATAACACCACATAGTATAGTTATTACACTTATACTCCAAATTCAAGACGATAGATCCAAATAAAATATGTTACATTGGCTTGGTGGTTCCGACCAGTCACAACAGTCTTGACCAATCGTAATGTTTCTAAATGATTTAGACTATAATAAAATTACCGTAGATAAAACCACAGAATAAAGAGTTTATTCTGTGATAAAACTGTGTTAAAGTGTACCTGTAAATCAGTTACACAATCACAATATGTTGTTATAGATGGCAGGCCTAAAGCACATTAATGGCATTTTCCATTAATGTAAAACTTAAAATTAGCCTCTGAAGAAAAACTAATAAAATATATATTGAACAAATTGGATAGCCTACTGAGAAATGATAGGATAAAATAATGGAAATCATTCAAATAAATAACTGAGTTAGTTAAAATAATACACCAAACTACTATCAATATAATATTTTAACGCTAATCGTATCAAAATCGTACCATAAATAAGTGCAGTTCAATGTTTGTTTACACGCAAGTTTGACCTGCCGCCATGCCAAGATGTCCCTACTGCTACAACTTCATTAGCAGCAGCCTGTCAACTATGTAAAACAACAAGTTGCAAGTTAAGCCTAGTCATGAGAAATCAAATAAACTGAAATCATCCTCAAACTCGTTGATTCGCCTTTAAATGATCGGTGAAATGTTTTCTGATCAACTAAATTCATTTTATGCCAAAAAACAATTATAAATAGTTCTATATCAGAGATAATAATAAATGTTCTTACATACCGAATCAACCATGTGAACCATGCATGCTCTGATGTAGTCGGGACGACGCTGTAACACATACTGAAGGAAGGTTTGGCGTCGCGCGGCGCCGCAGCCAAGCCAGCCATTGTTGAGGCATCAGCTGACGCATTGTTGCGATCAGCTGATGTTTGCCACCTTCACCACCATGTAAGATATCACTCAAATTGTTGTTTCTTTATTAGTTTATTACAAATTCACTGTAATCAGTATAAATGTGTTAGTTGCATGTTATTTATTTATTCTATACGATTTCTATAGCTAACATTGTGTTTTATAACGAAGGAAGTTACATTGCAGATTTTCTTGTTTTAATAAGAACGAAAGTAGCGGAATACATGACCAGGTGAATTATTAAGTGGTTTTCCAATTGGACTTAAATTGCAATGGTTCAATTATTCAAGTTCAAGGCATTACAATATGGTGCCATTTAAAATTAAAGTATTAAAGTATTAAAAATAAAGTCTTTTTCTTTATAATTTCGAAGTAATGTTGTAAGAACAGAAAATTCTTCTTTTTGATTGAAGATGCAGATATATGCTTTAATAATTAATATATTTGATACCAAAACAAGGGAAATACATAAATATTCAAAATACGTAAAATACATGAACCAGGCTAAGTTTGTTATACCGATTCTGAAGTGAGAGTCCTATGAATAAATAAATAAGCCTTTATTTCCGAGCGTTGGTTTTACAGAGTAACTCAGGTCGGTATAACTAACTAAAAAATATACAACAATGAAAAAAAACAATGTGTATGATAAAATTAAATGATAGGCTATATACAAATATTTTACAGTCTTTTTCATGTTTTTTTTTCAAAGCCAGGAACCCCAGCTATTTTAGGCCCAAGGGGAGATCATTGTAGATCTTTTTCCAAAGTAAAAACCCCTTTTCTACCCACTTCTAGGATCACTTTTGGAAAGCGGAGCAAGGCGTTTTGCTGGGCCCTATTTCCTATTATTTCTTATTATTTCTCAACTCTTGCATAGTATCATTGAATATTTATACTTACCTGTAGGTTCATAGTCTAATTGTAGTATCCTATACACTTGATTTTACTTGTTACCTTAAATTAATATCTTCCTTATATCATTATTTAGGGATCTGGTTAAAATTAATCATTTATAATTTATATCTTTGGTTAATTGTCATTTTTATAGTAATTGTGCCATGAATTATTAATCCTTTCTAGATTCATAATAGCTCTTATTTATCTCCATACAATTTTCCAGTACCGTATGTTTATGTCCGGTGTGTATGTGGAGTTCATTTGGTTGTTTTCCTTTTTATCGTCATTTAACCCACTTTTAAACGATATAACCAAACAAAATTATCTAATTAGAAAATATTGTCTGCAAGTATTATTTACCGTAGGATTAAAAGTAAGATGTAAAATGTACCTGTCCAAGGGGGGCTTAGCCAAGATCAGAGCACCGATATATAACTACTACGATCAGTAGCTATGTATCGATGCTTCAGAGCTGTTAACGTACCGTAGCTAGACATAACACATCAAAACAGGCTGCTGAATTTATTTGGCAACGAATGAGGAAATACTCTACTTTCAGCATCAAAAGTCAGCGTGTTAGTATCAAACAATGCAAACACACTTCATGGTTCCGCTCAATATAATATTTCATGATTCAAATGTTCCCGTACCGTTCCCAGGCATATGCGACTTGAACAGAGCACACATCTTTATTCCATTCAGGCACATGTGTCAGTCCATTTAAACCAATTCCACCACACATAACCGGCTCGATTACCAAACAAGATTTGTTTAAATGTATTCCCATACCTTTATCCTGTAATTGACAGTTTGGGATCCTGTGTCAGAATGTCTCTTTTGTACAATTGCCTCCTTTTACAATACCTGTACCATAAAAATAAACATACTCCCTTTTATATTTATCATCCTTACGGATCGGCTGAAGGAAATATAAGGGTGTAAGTTATATCTTTCCGTCATGTGTAAATGAAGGGGTTTTTATTTTAACTGTATTTATATTTTCTTCGCCGTCTTCTAAACTACTATTAAAAAATAAAATCAACTATTTGCACAATGCTTTAGTTACCATTAAATATAGCAACACGTTTAGGCTAAATCGGTGCAAAAAAGAAACACATCAAAATAGGCTTCAGATCATACATTAGATCGTTCTAAACACGATGAGTTGATTCCACTTAACAGTGCACTAAAAATAATGGACGCAAACATTATTTTCATAATCTCGGCTTCTACTTAACAGCTTTTAAATTTTAAAAAACCTGTTATCTAATATGTTATGAAAGTGATAAGTGGAAGTTTGACGTCATCGTTTAAAACCATTAAAAAATAAAAATACAGGCAAATGACACATACAAATTAAGCGAAGAGTGTATGGATTTGCCGAAAATTATTGGAATGAACTAATTCCCTAAGGGCTCTGCCACACAGACATATTTACAAAGGGCCTTACCTTCCATGTTTTCATTGTTTAATTAATTAAATGATAAACAGCTGATCAATGGAATTAACAGCTGTTTGTTTACTGTACTGTATTTATATTTTTGTTTATGTTCTTAAAAGCAGTGGGGTTAATAAATTACATTGATGCTATTTCTGGCAGTTGGATGAAAGTGAGTCCTTTAAGAATTTTTAAAGACAATATTAGTGAGATAAAAAAATGTCTGTTTGACCAAGGGTTATCAACAAAATTAGGTCGTCTAGAACTCCTTCTTAGCGAATCGGTATTCTATCATTTCAACCTCAGCCTGTGTAAGGTATAGATAGAGCTGCCGCTGCTTTCGATATTCCTTAAAATGAAAATGTATCCAACCTACGCCCTTTTAACGAAAGATGTGGACATTGTGACGCACTGCATTATAAATATTAAAATCCGGGAATCACTCTGTGTGATCTGAGAAGGTTTCTCTGTCCCCAACTGTTAGTCACCCAAGGTAATAGGCCTTCTACCCAGACAAGATAATACATCTAACTTCGTCAAGAAGAGGTAAGAATAAAAACTCAGACTTATCATTCGTAACAACTGGTGCTGACATAAGACATCCTGAGGGTAACGGCCGGACCCTTTTGTTTTATTCCACAGGGGCTGAGGGGGTTTGAGCATGCATGAAAGTAGTACGCAATGTTATTGCTGATTATTGTAATATGGGCTGTGGTGATCAAAATTACGTATGTCGCCTATTTCAAAAGTGGTCAATAAGGTGGGTTTGGAGGGGGCAAACATAACGGGAGGCGCTATGTGTTAAAACGCTGATATTTCGAAAACGGTAAAAGATAGAATATCGGTTAAAACATCGTTGGATCTGACTCCAAAAAAACTTCCGGCAAAGATCTACGTACATGTGCAGCTAAGGCTAAGCTACTATTACGATTGAAGTTGATGGAATTAAAACTGATCCTTTAGTTGATACTGGCATTTCGGAAACATCCTTATAGGGAACTAGGAGTTACCCGGTGCACGTTGCTGCGCTTAACAACTATGAGTTAAATGGTAATTTGTTCTTTACGATGAGTAATAAAATTGTATAGCAAAAATAAAAAAGAACCTTCTACTTAATAGCCAGTGGATAAACAATGTTTTGTTTTGTTTTTGTAAAACATGATTTTGCATTTAATAAGTAAAACCATGACTATTAGAGTCAAGGTACAACTTTACTCTGAACATAGAAATAGACTCTTTTGCACAAGACAAAATCAATCTGTTAGGATATGTAATAACAAAGAACGAAATCCGTCCTGATCCACACCGTCTTCAGTCGCTCTTGAAACTACCCCTTCCTCATGACATCCAATCATTGCGACGAACCATGGGCATGTTCGCTCATTATTCTGACTTTATCAAGAGTTTTTCAGAGAAGATTCAGTCCCTTTCATCTACTAAAAGTTTAGAAGAAGCGATTAACTGATCCTATAATGAATTGAACAAATAAATATTTACTGCAACCAAAGCTCAAATCCAAGATGACATATTATTGTGTAAATATTGTGTAGTATAACTGTGGTACTGATCCGGCCAGGCACTCTCTACCCTACTACTGAGTTTGTGTAAGATTCAAATATAGATCCCGCACAGGTTTATAACCTCAGGGCTTTATTGCTCTATGATTCTATTTATTATTATATCCCATGTTTTAAACAGTTAAGGTTTAAAAATTTTTGTGTAAGTTCATAGGCATATTTGTATAAATACTATAACCAGAATTGTGTTCAATACTATTGTGATTGTTTACAATAACTGTATATTATGTACATTGAGCAATAAAGAATTTTTCTATTCTATTCTATTCTATTAGTTACAGTACCCATATAGCACAGAATATCCTCAGGATATCCCACAGAGTTCCCAAAAGGTCCCAATATCCCATTAGATATAAGAATATCTCTGGGACATTCCTGACATGTTCCCGTTACAATAATTAATTTTTTTTGTTTAGGGTTTTTGATCGAGGGACAGGAATATCTTTGGCACATCCCTAGTATTCTAGGGATATAACCATTGTGGATATTTTCACGATATCATTTTTTCATAATTTATTTGTAAAATCCACTAATAACTCAAGTACTTCTCGAAATATGCTACTGAATACAGCTTTCCCACACAGCACAGGATTCTGACCAGTTCCCACATATCCCACATAGATCTCAGGATTTGATAATGTCCCTAGGATCACTCTAAGATATTGCACATATCCAACACAAACGATTGCGTTTTGAGGATATCCTGGGGACTTCCTATGGATATTCTCGGTAGGCTACCTATATTAAAACATATTTTATAGTATTGGATGTATTTTTTCAAGTGACAAGTGCTTGAGAAACGTTATTAAAAGGATTTCAATACTATTTCGAATTAAAATAACTAATAACGTTACTAATGATTTATAAAAATTTATCATGTTTTCCGATCATATCCATAGGACATCCTTTGGAGATCCGTAGGATATCCCCATGGGGCATAATAACTATCAAACTCTAAATTTTTACCATTTAATAATAATAATACATCTGCTCACAATAATAATAATAATGCAAATATTTTCTTTTTAATTTAAATTATAACTTATTTTTAGAAAATTTATTGGTTGAAAATTCAAGGGGGATATTAGTTAATCATACAACAATTATTATCTATATTCTTATTACAGTATCCTCTACAACTCCCAGAAAAACAATTTAACAACTTGATGCCTAAACAGAATCATAGTATAAAAGATATTTAAGTATTGCGACCATTTCAACTGTCGGCTCCTCTTTAACCGCTTGAAAACTAGTAATATCAACAATAATTACAAATAGCTCAGGAGGCAAGGTAAGAGTTTCATAAGTCAAAGGTACCCGGTTTAAAAGTCGTCTGGGCATAAATATTTTTGTTTAAATTTTTTTCCCAAAATTTGTTTTTATGAGCTATTTAATTAAAATACTTAACTGGTAAAAGTGCTTTTTAGACTAAATATATATTATTTTGTGTTTTTATGTATAATATCCTGGTGGGATATCCCAGGGATCCGGATTTGGGCGGGCATAGTTCCCCAGAATATCCTGAGGACATTGCGGGATACAAAGAGGATATCCCCCATACCCCACTGGGATATCCCCCATATCCCACTGGGATATCCCCAGGACATTCCAAGGATATTCTTGTGTTGTGTGGGTAGTTGAGACCAAAGCATCTGATACTTTATATATACACCTTATATATATATATATATGCGTGTGTGTGTGTGTGTGTGTCCGTTAGCAAAATAACTCGAGCAAAAATGATCCGATTTTGATTCACTGGTTGTACTATCATAGGTTTTGTGGAGATGCATAATCAATGGTTTTCAAAAGTTATTGGCCTTCTCAATATCCACGAGTGCTCCCCTACTAAAAAAATAAAATAGTGTCGTCTGCCGAAGCTGAAGCGCTTTTTTTCACATGCTTTGCTTAGGCTTTCTGCTAGTGACGACTTTGACGAGACGAGCTTGAAAATGAACTACTAGGCCTAGTATTTTTGTTTTGTTTTTTATGAATAGGCCTACTCTTGATTTTATTCCATCCTCTAATCTTTGTTGAGTGGATTATGGTTCCGGAATTTTCGAATTTTATATTTCGCAACTGGTAAGTCGGTTTCAATATTTACACTTGTCTTTAAATATAAAAGTAAACACCGGTATGCCTCAGAGAGAGGTTTTCATTCGTAACCTCAACTAGGTAGCATCTATATTCTACATTGGTAGCTAGGGATGAGCATCGATAGGTCAACCATCGATGTTCACCATCAATTAACCAAGATTGTGAAAACTACGATCATTGACTAAGGACTACGATGTTTCGGGGACCATGTTTTTTTATGTTTTTGTTTTTACAGTTTTTCGTCTGCTGTCTGTACTCTCTAGTAATGGAAAACATCGATACTTATACCACTTAATACTTGGCCAAAAACATCAATGTTTGACGAAAACATCGATTTAACAAAAAAAATCGGTAACCTACCATCGATAGAAACACATCCATGTTTAAAAAACATTGACTACCGATGCTCATCCCTGATGTTTTGTTTAAAGGTTGTTTGAACATTTTTGTAGGAATATCAATATGTAGTAACTTAAGTAACTTAGTTTTGCAACCCAAATTCAACACAAGTAGGTAAACTTATAAAATTGTCTAAATGTAGTTCCGTTAACATAATACCTTCTAGGTGTTTCGGTTTCTAGGTTTGATGGAATAGCCTAGTTCATGTACCTGACTTATTTAATTGCCTATCATACTAGATTTAAACTGGAAATATTAGGTCTCCTCGACAAAACAAGTTCTAAGTTATAGGTAATAAATCAACTAAAATGGTACCTATTCAAGATGGACAAATAACATCCATGCCTATTTGCCTAGGCGTACCTTAAATATTATACCCTACAAGACTACAGATAATGTTGTTAAATGGTAAAAAAAAATTAAGATGCCAAATTAACTTTGTTTCTTTACAGATTATGTCCCAGCCTACAGCAAAAGAAGTTTTAAATCTTTATCGAAGCCTTATCCGTTATTCAAAAAACTTGAAATATACAGACAAAGAATACTTTTTGAACAGAGTGCAGGAGGAATTCAGGAAAAATCAGCATGAAGAAAAACCAGACATTATAGAATTCTGTTATAAGGTAAGCGAGTCGAGACTGCTGTGGTAAATTACCACCTCTGCAACAAACCTGCAGACTAAAGCAAATTTCAATTTGTCTCATTGGGTTTTTACTGAAATATTTCCATAAACAAGTCATAAGTTAACTGACAGGTGTTTTTTTATAGGATTAAATATATAAATTTGCCAAATTTGATCAACATACCGGTACATCCATAAATTAGCAAACTACAACAGTTTTCTTTTTCGCCTTAAGAATAACATGGTAATCTTAAATACAGTTTTTGGGAATTTCTTCGTAACGTTGAGTTTTACAAGAAAGCTTCAATATAGCATACAAAATTCTTTAAGTTCTTTGACCAAGATAACAGTAAGCCTAATCAAAATTGGGCATTTTCATGTTTTAAGGGTAAAATTAGAAGAAAAACAACAATTTTTGAACATTTTAAAACCCTAAGTTAATATCCCGTTTCTGTTTATCAATTTAGGGTTAGGCCTGGCGCACACGGCCGATTATTCGATCGGCCGATTAAAAAATCGGCCAAAAATAAAACACCCTTGATTTATGTCCAGGCGCACACAAGGCAATTTTTTAGTCGACCATGTGACTGATAACAATCTGTACGTTACAGATTTTCGGGCGACAATCGCCTCGCCTACGAATCTGTGGCAAAACCCAGATTTTTAAATCGGCGCAGTTCTCGATCGCCTGTGTACGCGCTTCTATTCAAATACATGATGCACAGATCGGCCGATGAAATAGTCGCCTCAAAATAATCGCTCTTGTGCGCCTAGCCTTAGGGTATCTAGTAGGAGTTTTACGTGTTTTATTACCGTAACTAATTACTTGCAGAAAGGACAAGCTCTGCTGAAGTACAGACGAGTTGTATGATGCTACAGAGCTGGTCTATGGTGAGGCGACTGGTTACCACAGTAGTCGTTCAGATCAACAAGAATAAACTAGACTACTCCCTGGTCCCTAAGGTTGGTTTGCCAATATATTTTGGGGGAAACTGCTAAAGTGCTCATTCTCTGATAGAGTCTTTTTTGATAGAGTAGTCTCGAATAGTCCATCTGATCATTTTTGTTATATTTCTTCTGAATTAGCCAACCCTCTCTGCAGACTATCGAGTCTCATGAAATTGCTTGGCATTTCTGTGTGGTTTGGTTGTCTAAGTGTGCTAGTCTAAGTTACATTAGTTACCGCTGATTTTAGCATACCACAGCCGGTTCAGTTTGGCTAGACTACTGTAAAAATAATAATATAACTTGAATTTTTAAACTCTCAAAATGCTTTTGTATAGTTACAAATTGTTAAAAAACTATTTTTAACAACTAACTATTTTCTAACTATGATACACTACATGATAAATACACTATGATACACTCCATTATGATAGTACATTTGTAAATATATAGAAATTTTATAGAAACATTTAATTACATAAACAAGAGTTTGTAATGGCAATGAATACTCCTAGATAAGATTAACACTTATTTAGATTCTGAACAAAATGTTTCGGATTGATTTTTAGTGAATCTTGCTTAATGTGCAAGAAGTTACTTGTTTGTTAAGATCCGATTTACGGTGTAGCTTTAAGTTTAGCCGTAGACCTATATAATAACAAGTAATTCCCACTCTAGTAATAGGCAGTTCACTCACGTTAAAAACGTTAAAACTACACAAAAAAGTGTTGTTGATTTTTTTATTTTTCTTTCAAATGTTTAGGAAGTTAGATTTTTCCAACTTATTTTGTTTTTTAAACTCTTGCTTGTAGAACTGAAAATAGACTGGTTTTTATCTATTTCCTATCGGTTTGTCTATAGTTGGTAGAAGAAGACTTGAAGGAACAGTTTGTAAGAGGGTCAGGTCCTGGTGGCCAAGCTACGAATAGAACCAGCAACTGTGTAGTTCTCACTCACAAGCCTTCAGGTGAGACTAGAGTATTGTTATTGAGTATTGGTATTGTTGGTTGAGTAGTGTATTGTAAGATGTTATGTTATCATCAAATTAAATTTTAAATTTGGCTACCGATGACTCATAAATGTGTCACACCAAATCCATTTACATAGATAAGCTGTATAAACAATCAATGGTCCAACTATTTATGTGAGTCGGTGGCTCAGTCAGTAGGCTCAAGGACTTCGGCCCCAGGGCAGCGATGTCAAGGGCTCGGATCCTGGTCACTGCCGCAAACATTTTATCAGTACAGTTCACTTTCGTACTGTATCGGCTAACCCCTTGCTTTGCTTTGCTAGATACAATGATACAATCCACGCACGGGCAGTTAGTCTATGTGGACGAGGAAATGCATGAAAAGAGGCCGCTGAGGTCTTAAAAAAAAAAACCATGTTAGGGAATGAAGTGCTTTGATCTCCTGGACTGAAATGGGACTGTCTATAAGTTAGTTATGGAATAGGCTAAATTAGGAGCTATTGCTGTTGGTCTTGGTTAATAATGATTAGATTACTGATGAAGATGATTGGTAGTTAACATGTAAAATTTGTGTGTAAACTTTATCCTTGGTAAACATTATTCGATAAATAGATTGTCTTTTGAGGATTTGGGTCTTGCCTGTCATTGTCTATTTGATTAAAATTTATATTTTAGTATATCATCTCTTGATTTCATCATCTTAAGGCTTATTACAAAAATTTCATTGGATATCTATCCTATTGGCTTTGGTTCCACCATTGCCATGATATAGCCTACACATAGTATTTGCAAATATGGTGCGTAAATAATTGAATGATTTAAATAAAAGTTTATATCTCCCTACTTGACTTTGTTAGTCAAAGATAACCTCTAAAAAGTTAGCTTTATTTATTCTAACGGTTTCTCCATTGTAGGTACAGTTTTGTACTAAAACTAAATTTACAAGATCGTATAGTAAGTTGTAAATATGTAATTCATGCTAACTCAAACTTTATGTAAGAGTCGAGTGGGGAAGTCACTGGAAAGTGAAGGGAATTGCCTATAAGCTGTAGCAAAGTGTAGCCAAGTACTTAGGAGATTTAATTGTGCAGAGCTTGTCTTGTTCGAAAAATATAGTTGAAGGCTGGACATTGTACCGATTCAAATTCAAATCAAAAGAACGTGCGTGAAAACAAGGAAACAACAACGGCCAAACACGTGAACGCGGAGTGATATCTAACTTGAAACGTTGAAAAGTTTTCCAACGGTCGTACACTTGGGGACCAGACTTCTATTGGCGATGTTCGGAAATTCGTAATTCTCAACTCAGTTCGTAAAAAAACCACTCTCGGTAAATCCTTACGTGTGTATCGGTAACGAGAAACAATTGTTTGATCTCCGGAGTGTCTAGAAAATCGTATCGCGAAAAAACGAAAGTAAAATTAAATTAATTGAAATATTTGAGTCTGACCGTCCGAGAAACTTCGTAAAAAATTGATCGTTTTGCGTAGTCATCCCCAAGTGCAGTTTTTGTAAATATATTTTTAAGTGTCATCTATGTGTCTTCATTGTATGTAAGTAAAATTACTGTTAGTACCGGTACTGTGAAAATTGTATTTATAGTGTGTAATCGAGCCAATCTGTCCATATTGAATATTTAATCATTTTTTTCATGATTATAAATTACCTCTGTTTGCATAAAGAATTTTTTTTTTTACCGTCAATTTATTCCAGAACACTAAAAATTCAGCTTCAAGCAAGACAAATAAAAAAAAAGGTTTAAATTATACGATTTTTTTTCTCTTATATATTTTTTACTTCCCATTTAAATTAATCTTTTCGCAACTCAGTCTACGCACAGGCCCTGCCTATGTAGACTTTTTCCTTTCTTATAGAATGTATTTTTTTTAACACTTTTATTTACTTATTTCTACAGTATATAATTTTTGTTTTGTTATCTAGTTAGTAATATTTTGCTGTTTCATATTTAAGAAAAGAAAAAAATACAATGTACTTGTCTGTAAATTAATGGGAAATAAAATATTATTTCATTTCATTTTCATTTCATTTCATTTTGCAGCATTCATGTTTTATTATGTTAGCTAGTCACATGTTTCAAATTTAGAGTCGTTTACATTTATTAAGTACTGTAAAACATTTGTAGATTTTACATAGATCAAATATTTGGAAAAGAGTTTTATATAAATCGTATTTTATATTGTAATTTTTACATCTAACTTCATTTTTAAATATTTTCAGTTCACATTGTATAGCCGTCACAGACTTTGTTCTTTTGCGAACTACATTTTATTAATATTAAAGTAATTAAATTTCATTTTCAACCCCCACCAGGGGGCAACTTTTTGGTTTACTCACACCTCTATGGAATATTGAAATTATATTACATACAGGTGTGAGTTATTGTCTGAAGAAATGAAATGGTGATATTAAAGTAAAGAATCTTTTATTTTTTATTTACAAAAGAATATAGGAAATATTCTTTTCATTTTTCCTTGCAACATCTTTAATCTCTGACGGCTCAAGCGCCGCCAGCCCCCAATTTTGGCCACTGGCATTAACTTCACTTTTTTGTTTTAATCAGGAATCTATATATTAATACGCAAGCAGTTTTCTTTTCACAGTCATAACTCAATAACGGCTTGATGGATTTTAAAGTTTGAGGTGTCACATTAAAGGTATTTTCACGTAGATGTGCAAATACGTCTCAGAATATTTGGAAAGGGCGCCAATTAAGTACAGTTAAGGGCTAAAGTTTGGAAGGTGGCGCCATCTGTTGACATTTGATCCAAATCATTTCCCTTTGTTTACAAATAACATATGGACGTAGTTTGAAATAGTTTTTAAGGTTAACCACAGACTCCAGGACTTAAAACTTACAGAGCAAAGCTGGAATTTATTTTGTTTCAATCTGTTAACTAAGTCTGGTTCATAATTGAAGAGCATCCTATCAATACTAGACAACAAAGTGTTTAAGAATAAATATTTAATTCTTTTTAGTTTTTAAGTTTGACCATAGACTGCAGGACTTATTTATTCCAGAGCAAAGCCGGAATTTTATGTTTTTATCTAAACATCTGTTAACTAAATCTGTTTCCTAAATAAAGAGTCTCCTAGCAAGACTTGACAGCAAATTGTTTGTAAATAGTTGAATGTATTTACCTTACATCGTATTTTACTGAATTATCGTGTTGTTTTGGTTACAGTTTGGTGTGATGAAATGAATGTTTGAAAGTGATTATTTCCAGTGCAGTTACATCACCATATCATGTAATTTACAATGTGTATAACAATTCTGTTGTAGTGTTTTCTGTTGTTTTGTTAACTTTCGCAATGTATCTAAATTTAAAATAATATGCCACCAGTAAGACGAAGACTGTGAGTGGCTGGAGGAAACGCGAACGTGGCCGCTTGCATCAATCTCCCAATGTATTATTTGAAGATCCGCTTGCATCAATCTCCCAATGTATCATTTGAAGATTACAGAGTGGTAACCATCGTGTGGGATACATCTAACCTTGGACAAATGAACTTTAAATGTTCACATTGTGGTGGCTTACATTTTAAGCATAAAAAAAAGAGTCTGGCCGACACAGTTCAATTGTTACTCTTTGTTGCCATAAATGAGAGAACCATTTACCTCATCTGCGGAATTCCAGGAACTTATTGGAAACTCCCAATCTGAAATCAGGGAAATCAGGGGAGGCTTGGATCTAGAAATTATTAGAATAAAATTCGTCAATTCATTTCCGCCTTTGCCATGGTCAGCTCTGAAGCTCATTTAGATGAGAGGATCATAGGAGATCTACAATTTCAAGATCCATGACACTTGAAAGGAAAGATTCAATAAAAAAATATGTGGGAAATAGGGTCACATTGCCAACCCATTTTCCCAATCTTTTAAAACTGTGGCAGAAATGTGTAGGGATGAGAGCTCCGAGGAGTTAAGGGAGATTCTTATGTACATAATAAGAGACAAAATAATTGGCTTTCCTCGCTACAATGATGCGACCTGTATAAATGTCGCCGCTATTTTTAAAGCTGAAAACAGAGGACCACCAGACCAAATAAATCTTAGTTAATTTTTTTTTCAAAAACTAATAATGTTAAACGCGAATCCGTTCTAGATCCGTCGTTAGATCCACTTGCTTGCCCTCTAATGTTCCCAACTGGAGACTTTGGTTGGGGCCCCTAATTTAAACACGCCTAAAACAGAACCTATCGTAGAAATAATTTAACAGTGCTATATTACGTGTCGTACTGGTTTGCGTCAAGAGAGGGATTTGGCTTGCAACATTAGGTCGGAAAAGCTCACTTTACAGTGTGTGGTTGACATCTACGTTCTCATAGTGGGGACCCACCTACAATACATAAGAGATGACCAAAGCAGTATGAGAGCGGATCTATATTTATTTAAATATTGTAGGTTAGTTTAATAATTTGTTACAACATAATATTTTCGTATTTCTATAATCAGTCATAGACTTTAGAATTACTCTTTGATTGAGGTCTTGCTGTTTATGTTTTTGTTGTTTTTTTTTTTATTACAAGTTGCAGTTTTGCTCGATTTCGAGCAACAGGTTATCTAGTCTATATACTAATACGGAAGCAGGTTTCTTTTCACAGTCATAACTCGATAACGGTTTGACGGATTTTTACGTTTGAGGTGTCAAATTAAAGGTATTTTCACGTAGATGTGCAAGTACGTCTCAGAATATTAAGAAAGGGCATCCCTTAAGTACAGTTAAGGGCTAAAGTTTGGAAGGTGGCGCTATCTGTTGACATTTGATCAAACTCATTTCCTTTTGTTTACAAATAACATATGGACGTAGTTTAAAATAGTTTTTAAGGTTAACCACAGACTGCAGGACTTAAAACTTCCAGAGCAAAGCTGGGATTTATATTTTGTTTCAATCTGTTAACTAAGTCTGGTTCTGGTTCATAATGAAGAGTTTAAGAATAAATATTTAATAAATATTTTATTATTTTCTATGGTTAAATTGATTCACCTTACATCGTATTTTAATGATTATCATGTTACAGTTCGATGTGATGAAGTGAATGTTTAAAAATGATTATTCGCAGGGCAGTTATCCATTACATACATAGTGGTAGTACTACCGTTGTGATAGTCTAGTCGCGGACAAATGAACGTTAAATGTTTACATTGTAGTAGCTTACATATTTTTAAGCAAGAAAAGACTGGCCGAGACAGTTAAGTTTTTACTGTTGTTTATGTTTACCTCATTTGTGCAATTCACAATACCTTCAGGTTCTTATTGGAAACTCCCAATCTGAAAATAGGACTGTGAGACTTATATATAGAAGTTATTTGGATAAAGTTTGTCAATTCAATTCTGCCTTTACCATGGTCAGCTCCGAAGCTCATTAAGACGAGAAAGTTCCACAGGGGATCTACAATTTTAAGATCCGTGACACGTTTTACCACCGAGTGGGTCCTCTAATTCCTCAATAAGGTGATGATCCTGAATACGCACAGATATATAAGTAAGTACAACAATGTCACTAGAACCCAAAAGAGAATTAATCACAATTCAAACAAAAAATGCAATGAAAAAATATGCGGAAAATAGGGTCACAATGCCAACCCATTTGCAAATCTTTGAAGACTGTGGCAGACATTATGTAGGGACGAGAGCTCCGAGGAGTCAAGTGAGATTCTTATGTACATAATAAGAGACAGAAGGAAGTGTCTTCCCTCGCTACAATGGTGCTACATGTGTAGATGTTGCAGCAATTTTTAAAGCTGAAAACAAAGCACCACCTGGCCAAATAAATCGTATAGCTTTTTTAACACTAATAATGTTAAACGCGTATCCATTCTAGATCTGTCGTTGGATCCACTTGCTTACCCTCTTATGTTCCCAACCGGAGACTTGGGTTGGTAACCCTAATTTAAACACGCCTAAAACAGAACACATAAAAGAAATAATTTAACAATGCTAAGAGTAGTGATGGTTGGCGTCAAGAGAGGAATTGAGCTACATTAGGTCAAAAGCTCACTTTACAGTGTGTGAATGACATCTACGCGCTCATAGAGTGCACCCGCCTACTATACATAAGAGATCACCAAAGCAGTATGATAGTGAATGTAAATTTAAATATTGTAGATTACTTTTATATTTTTTACATCATAATATTTTTATATTTCTATAATCAGTCATATACATGATTTTAGAGCAACTCTTTTGATTAAGGTCTTGCTGTTTTTGTTTTTTTTTACATACAAGTTTCAGTTTTGCTCGATTTCGAGCTACGTGTTATCTAGTAATACAGGATACTCAAATAACTGTATTAGCAACATATATCAATGTATTAGGAAATACAGGTTTCCTATGGATTCATTTTAGTAACGTTACATCATCAAAACGTTCATCAGTCAAAATTATATTATAAACCATAACTCAGTTGAGAGGTGTATATGTGATCAGAGCCCGCAACTGTGACACATGCGCAACGCATGCGGTTGGTATCACTGCTGCACAGTTTTGATAGAGCGCAGCACTGAACGGTGAACATTCTTTTTCCTCTCTACTTCCGCCTTGCCGGGTGGAGCCCATGCAACAGTCTCATTTGTTCTCCATCATGTGTCGTGAATAACTGATCGTAACTCTAGTTTGTCTCTCTCTCTCCGTTTGCGGCCGCGATGACCTTCCGGTATTGGTATTATTATTATAACTATTAAAATTGATGTAAAAGTATCTAAATTATAACAGTAACAGTATAGTTTAGTATAAAGTGTAATCCTTAAAAGTGTAAAATTGGCATCTAAATTTCTTTTGTGTAATAAACCATCTTTTTTTTGTAATCTTTTCGAACTCGTTATTTACTCCAACACTTCCCACTGGGTGCCTTGATGAACAACGAGAGCTCAAGCTACAAATCGACAAAGTAACTATTTTGGAAGAATTTCAGAGAATTGTAATGAAAAGTCCCTCCACAGTTTAAGCTTCAAAATTTTTTTTTCCTTGTGTTGCAGGTATTGTAGTCAAGTGCCATGAAACAAGGTCTCAGGATCGAAATCGGAAACTCGCCAGGGAACTTTTAGTCACCAAATTGGACAACCTCATTAATGGAGACAAATCCATTGAAGCTCAAACCAAGGCACTGGAGAAGCTAAAGTCTGTCAAAGCTGATCAAAAACGAAGAAAGCTTGCCAAGTTGAAAGATAAATGGAAAGAGCAAGAGGGCATTACTTAACTTTGTACTAGGAACTTGGTTTTGTAAATTCATAAATGGTTATTTTCATTTTGTTATAAATTTATTTCCTGATGTAAGAGTGGGAAATAGACAGAGTCCATTCCCCAATCCTATGGAATTCTGCTGCCTGTTCTATAATAGAAAACTTAGTACTTAGTTCAACTGAGCCACTTTTGAACTGCTGTTGTAAAATACCTATTTATCACTTAAAATGTTTATTTAGGCGTGCCAAACTGGAAGAACAAGAGAAAAATACCCTCTTTCTGTGTGTCATGAATTTTATCTTGTGCTTCAATCAGACCATGCTAATTTAATAGCTCTTAATATTAGAATCTAAAGCTATTTAGCTTGCTACTAGTACATTGTCAGATGTACTTAATACACTTTGCTAGTGAGCATGTGTATAGCTCAAGACATGTAATTAAGCTAGCACTTGGGCAATGAATACATGTATTCATTGTAGAGGTAAGGAAAAGACTGGACTGCAAACATTTCCGCTGACTCTTGGAGTTGACTCCCCGTGTTTCACGCACTTGAGCGCCTTGACGAGGGTCACAAGGACAGTTGACGCAAACCCTATGACGGCATTTTTTTTTAACTACTGTAGATGCTAGTAGCACAGACTATAGAGTAAACATTAATTACTCTATATACTATAGAGAAACCTGTGCTGTGTGTGTACTATAGAGTAGTCTGTGCTAGTAGCGATCGGTCAAGTGTCAGCTTACGTGTCATGAGCTATACCATATGTGGTCTATTAGAGATCTTAAGGATGCGATGTCGACTTCAGTATCCAAAGTAAATGCTTCATACACTCTAGTCTAAGAGTCTACCACAACAATATACTAGTATTACTATTCCACACACCCTGGTTTAGTCTTCCCATGCAAAGAAATGTGTATAAGGAAATTAGATTAGCCATAATTCAATTGCTAAAATAATATTTATTTCATAAACACTAACATAACATACTTCATATTATTATGTACACAATCTTTAACAAGCCTCTTCTCTACGTACAGGTTCTAAAATAGATCTAATTGTCTACAATTTTGTGACATAGAGTCAACCTTTTAGGACTTGCACAAATGTCATCCTAAAAAACTCTGAACTTGTCCCTCCTAGACTTCTGCGTCTGGCCTGGAGGGTAGACACAGTCTGATTGCACAACGACCCTCATATCATCCACAGTCATGTCGTAACGTGCCAGAACCCGTTTCAACTCATCCACAATTGTGTCAGACATGGAAGGGCTTCGAGATAAAAACCACATGTCCATGTTTGCATCCGGATCTATAACATTTTAGGATAACTTGTATATTAATGTCATGTGTTAATTTAATTTAATTTGTATATGTGGATAATCAATATGATATTGTGGCTGAGGTGAGAAGTAGGAGATTGAGATGGGCGGGCCTTGTGTTAAAAAAGGAAGAGGGCTACTTATTGAGAAACATCCTAAACAACAACCCTGAGGGTTGAAGACCTCCTGGAAGGCCCAAGTTGAGGTGGAGAGATCAAGTGAGAAGAGACCTGAGAAGAATGGGAAGAAGGGAGGATGAAGCAGTGGATCGTGCAGTCTGTACCTCCTTGAGTACCAAGAGCCACGGCAGTAAGTAAGTATGTGGATAATCAAAAGCTCTTCCGACAAGCAGTAGAGTTAAGCATTCCTCAGTTATACAGTCTCATTGTTGAAACTTTAAATTTTCTTGTATTTTACAACAGCGATAGATGTTTAACACGGGTTTCTAGAAGGACTCCCTGCATAATATGGAGATTGTCATTACTAATACTGCCCCCCACCTAGATTTTTTGCTTCATACTAAATTATCTATCTAATGACTTGTCCATAATCTTTGAGGTAAGACAGCGCATGAACCATTTTTTCTAAATTCAGTAGAAGAACATTTTCTGAATGTCATTGTGTTGGCAAATGGATCTTGAAATACACAATGTCACAAACACGTCAAATGAATAATAATTGATATGCTTTTTTTGTCAACATGTCAGCACTCGTCTTCACTAGAGGCAAAATAATGGATATGATATACAGGGTGGTAAAAAAGTCCCTGGACAGTTAAATATTTTAAAAATAATGCAGATAGAGCTACAATACTTGGTACAACGTTACAGGGCATAAAACTCTATTTTAACACATATTCAGTGATCCAATAACTCTTCAGGGGGACGGCCCACAAGGAGTCGGAAGAAAATCTTAAATGGAAGCATAGGTCAATATGCACATCAAATTAAAGGTCTTTTTTAGTAGAATACAATGCCGCAAACCGCACTTCAAAAGGTTGATCCTGCGCAAAATGACAGTTGTTCAAAGATTCATTTAATTTACATTGTTATTATACGCTTACTCCTCAGGGGGCACAGCCCTAGGGATCGGAAGAAAATTGTTGACGTAAGCATAGGTCGATATGCACATAAAATTAAAGGTCTTTACTAGTAGATTACGATGCCGTAAATTCAAGCTCAAAAGAATGCCTGAGTAAAAAATGGCAGTCGTTCAAAGATTCAAAATGGCGGATTCAAGAAATCTTTGAACAATAACTGTCATTTTGCGCAGGATCAACCTTTTGAAGTGCGGTTTCCTACTTACAAAATTATACAATTTAATTGTACTCACCTTCTCCCACACAGATATGTACAATCATGAAACTTTGATAGTCATCAGATCCAAGGATTCTTACTGTCATCGTTGTGTTTTCTGCACCTAAAAGTTTGTTATAAGATTATGCATGGATGCAATGCAATCAAACTAAAGAGGTCCCTGTTTAGAAGGATCAATTTGTATTCAAGACGAATTAAGTCATGGATGTACGTTTACAAATAAGGTTCTCAGCCAAAGAAAGGAAGCTAACTCCTAGACATTTTTAAACTAATAATACCCTACATGGCCTACAAAATGGCAGATAGGTACTTTATTGTTAACTTTTTATTGGGTTTGTTGCCTTTTGTTCTTGATGTTGATCTATTCAGTATTCACAGATGTATACCTTTTTTGTCCTAGGACGCTAGGCACGAGCCTGGGATTGATTTTCACATTACTTCAGGCTGGACCTAGAGGTTGTGGCATTATCACTTAGATAAAATCCATTGGTGACTTTGCGGGATTTTAACCCGGAACCTCATCAGGGACTGAAGTCCCGCGCTCTAACCAATACACCAGCTCGATCCCCATGTATACCGTACTGGCACGTGTCGAGTAGTTAGTGCACCATAGGCGTCCGCCGTCCACCCAAGACGCACTCGCTGCGTTGCCGCCGTTGCCGGTGTAACCCAGTTAATTAAGTGATGTAGAGAAAAAAAATTCCTCACAAACATTTATCTATCTATCTATCTATACTATATTATAAAGAAGGGGTGGTGTCTGTCTGTCTATATGCGTGTTTGATTGTATGAGATAAACTCAAAAACTACTGAACCGACTGGGCTCAAAATGGAACATTACTTAAACTACGGTAGCTGTTACCCACGGGCTTCACCCCGTTTGACTTCATAAGTATAATAAAACTATTGATTGGTTAAGTTAAGCTCTTGGTTACGTTACACGTTGCGCAAGAGCGTGTTTACATCACTTAGGTGAATTATGCAACTCGCTCGTTGCACAACATTCACCTGCGTGATGTAAAAACGACATTATACAATCGGGCGCACCCCGGGAAACGCTGATACGGCAAATCCTTCTACAACCGGAAGACTTCGGAAAATGAACGCCTAGACCAGATTAGATGATCTATTACAGGCGAATGACAAAGCCATATCGGTAGCTAATTTTTGGAAAAGCGAAGTCTGATTTCCGGACACGGAAAGTAAGTAAGTAAAACGCTCTTACTACACTTTTGTAACGTAAATAGCTATTACGCCACACTACACTATTTTGACGAACTTCCCATGCAAGGCCTTGGTCCAGAAAACAGCTGTTTGCCGCCAGCTTAATCAAATGGGGTTTCATTGCGTACTACTGTACTGTAATCAATGAGTTTTACCGGACACCAATCAGCTGATTATATTGTATTTGGGTGGCAATGAGTGGTTATAACAAAATTACTAGTGATTTTTAGTCCTTTAGTTGGTGGTAATATATAAAGATTTGAACGGATTTATATAGTAGTATATAGCGCCTATAGCGGAAACTATCGTACGTCACTCGTCCAAAATGTGTTTACCGGACCCGTATGAATGGTAATCCCGTACTCGACTTCGTCTCGCACGGGAACGACCACACTCATCCGGTAAACACTTATTTTCAGGACTAGTAACGTGAAAATATACACTATTATCGGTTTTGAAGGATTAATTGGCTGGATAGCTGAGTGGTTATAGTGCTCGCCTAGTAATCAAAAGGTCGCCGGTTCGATCCTGAGAAAAGTCAGTAGCTTTTTGATGGTTCGAAACTGGACCCAGCTGTTCCTGATCATTGGGCTTTAAATAAATGATCCTGACTAATGAAACCGCTGATCTTAGTCAGTAACAAAGCTACACAGGTCATCACACACCATTCTACACTCATCCTTCACTCATATTTGGGTTAAAATACGAACCTATGTGGCGTCCCCATCTCAATAATTGATTGATTCAATCTTGTTAATAGAGTTGATCTAATTTTATGTAGGTATTAATTCTTACAGTATACCTATTGCAAGTGTATAATATTGAACAGTAGACTTCTCATCCCATTGTAAATTTTGAAGCTCGTTTTTTATGTCTAGTTCATGTACGCCACACTGGGCGCTAGTGTCGACGAAATTTTGTTTGTATTATTTTAGGGTTAATTTCTTGATTTGTGCTTTACTGTTTGGTTAAATAACTAGGGGACAGTTTATTGTTTATGATTAGATCGTATTATTTGGTTAAACGAGGGTTTAAATGACTGTATTAATGGAAAACAAATTGTAAACAAAACACGACCTCTACATAAACCGTACAGAACTAACAATAAAATTGTCTTCAGCTGTTCCATTATGATGAGAAATCTACTAAGGGAGTAATACTCCCATACTATGTTTTATCTATGATTGAACTTACTTTGAATTATGTTTTATTGATACGGGTAAATTGATTTTATTTCAATTTTAATTCAACCTACGCAGCTGCATGGTTCAAACAGAACTAAGCAATGTAGGAAAAATATTGTTTTGTTACTTCTGCCTCTGCTAGCCACTGAGCTATGCTGCTAGCTAACTGCTTGAATTTTTGATTGTGTTGTGTTGTGTTGTGGTTGTGTTGTGATTGTGGGGATTTCTTGTCTTTTGTCGTTGTGTCGTTGTCAATAATTAGTTGTCATCCATCCCATTGTTCGTATTGTTTACGTCTTGTCATCTCAGCATTTCCCATCCCACAAACAAAAACATCAAAACTCTGTGATCTTTACTTTATACAATTTCAGTTTTGTTCTGTGATAAATCTATTTTTTTAGTAATTGTTTTGTAATAGGCCTAGGATAGTAACTTACATTAACCATAACCACGTTTAAGTTACCACAGCCCTACTCACAAACGTAAATGTATTTTGGTAAGTTAATATTTTTTTTAGTTCTTGTAACTGGTATTATAATAGTTAGTCTCTTTCAGAAAATTAATTGGGTACAGTTTCTTTACTGGTCTATGCTAATATCCATTGAAACTAACTTATAGAATTGAAAATATTGATTAATAATCGATATTTTTAAATATTATAGCCTATTTATTATAAAATTAAACTATCATAACCTAACCTAACCAGCTGATGGTGAAAAAAATCGCATGAAGGTTTACTAATCAAATCGATAGTTTCAATCAATAACTTATTAGCATAGCCCAGTTAAGAAACTGTACCCAATTAATTTTATAATGACGTGCTTTATCAATTGTTTTACTTGCTTAAATTATAGTCTGGTAGGTACGGTACTTCGGCTCCTAATTTAACTTCATCCGCCCTATTATTAACATTAAGGAACCCGTAAGGGGCACAGTTTCTTAACTGGGAAATCCTAACATCGATTGAAAATGTCAATTAATAACTTAATCCACATTTTAAACTCCCTTTATCAATTAATTAAAATGTATCTTAATTGTTACAACCTAACCTAACTGACCAAACTGCCTAATATTGAAAAAATTTAATGAAGGTTTACTTATCGAAACGATAGTTTCAATCGAATTAGGGTAGCCCAGCCCAGTTAAGAAGCTATAAGGTATACCTACCCCATTTAATTAAGAGGCCTAGTTAATACCTACTTACCCTATTCTTAACCCTCCGAGGGTCACGCGTCAAAAAATAGACGCACAACACACTTTGTGTAGGGTCACGCGTCTAGTTTAAGACGCACAAACATCGTTTACGGCGAAGGCTCTATGACTGACTGAATCGGATTGAACTGGATCGAGTTAGGTATCGTTCTTTCCGTAATATTCTAAGCTTTCTCCAGAGGTCTGTCTCTAAGCGCTATTGGTAATTATGTCGACCTCCAGTCAACGCTCTAAAAATTATTTTTTTTTTTAATCTGTTCGTTTTTTAATGCTGATTCCAAAAATGATATTCATTTTTTGCGGAAACGTCCCGTTTTCCCGGAAAATGGGAAAAACGGGAAAAATAATTTTTTGCCCATAACCCATGTTGTGGGTACTCAAATTGAGCGGAATTTCCTCCTGGACAAGAATATGTAAGTTTTATTACGATCGGACCACTATTAAGTAAAATATCACCGGAAAAGCGACCGCGCTGGCTACTTATGTACTGCCGCATGATGATAGCATTGCGGGTGACTCTAAGCCATTGTAGAAGTTTTAATAAAAGAGAGTTTTAATAAAACCTTGCAAATGCGCCAAAAAAAGGTGGACATTAAGGCCTAAACTATGGACACTCGGAGGGTTAAATACTTTCTTATTAAATGGCGATCATATTAAGTAGGTATTTTAAGCCGAGTACGAATGGAGATGAGTGTTGGATGAGTGGCGCGATCTTGTAGTCTTCTTAGTGACTAAGGCCGACATTCCTTAGACACAGCTGTTAAAAATAGCCCATACAGCTAATGGCAACTAAGGGACCTAAAGTTTATAGTGGAATCCGAACCACATTTCTGCCTCGTGTGGACATTAATCCACACCAGGGAGTATTGCATCCACAGTGCATGCCTATAAATATCCACAATTCGTGACCTCCTAGTAGCTGGATTACAGGACGACGCCAGTTAGGCCTACTTATACTGTGACAGGGGCTTTGTGGACGCCAAAGGATTAAAATTAGGTGACCATTCGTCAACGCACACACACTCATCAGCTCGAGCACAATGTGACCTGTCTTATCGCCCGTCCGTGGTTCGTGATTCATATAATTTAATACCGTTGTAACTTTTACTAAAATAGGTAGTACTGAAGCTTTGAATATTTGTTGGGTACTTTGTTATTATCCGGAGGCCACCCTAATAAAGTGTGCTGTGGCGATCATGTTAGGTTGGGTTATCATAAATATGTTTGTAGGACTTTCCAAGTTTTTTTATGAATTGAATGATACTATATGGAGTCATACTTTCTCCCGCCAAATCCCCTCCAAGTAGGCCAAGGTCAGGTTATTGACCACGCGGATCACCTGTCACCGCCTGTATCTGCTGGGTCATTATCCTGAGTGTTTTATTGTCGTGCACTAGGTTAGTTTTGTCTCCCTAGAAATGAGAAGTAACATTCTTTGTAACAAAACAAGGAAAGTCCTACAAACATATTTATGATAGCCCAACCTAACATAACTTATATATGCACACTTATATAATGACAAAAAGAATTTATTTAAGGACTGTCAGCTGTGCTGCAGTCCATAGGTTCTGGCGCACACCCCTGCAAGTGCCGTGTAGCTAAGCTACATAGCACGTACGCCATAACTACATGGCGCTCCCGGCAGTGTGCGCCAGAACCTTTGGTAACGCAGCACAGCTGACGGTCTATATTTAATTATTTTTGTCTATGATAATGGTGACATCCGTTTCAAATCAATCCTCGCTTCAACTCCGACATCGCTGCCTTCTGGGAGGCAGAACTCAAAGGCCGCTACTCGTAATCATGTCAAATTTGGACAGTAGCATAGCAACGCTGGTGGCGCTGCCTACGGATTGACAGGCAAAGCTCTCTCAAAACACTTAATGCTTTTTACCATGCGGTTGGCATTCTGGGTTATAGTAGTACGTTTTCTGTGTTAGTAGGTAGGCCATACATTAAATCTAATACTTAATTATATGAACAGAAACTCAAATAAACCTTAGATTTCCTACATGACTCTGGTTTAATCTGATATAGCTTGAAATAGATTTAACATCCGCACACATTAAAAACTAAAAAGTAGAAAATAATTTATAAATAAAAAACTTTTTTAAAACAAAACGTTTTAAAACACACTAAAAAGTAGAAAATAATTTATAGGAGAGTATAACTACTTGTAAGATTTAAAACGAAAAATGTGGGGTGCATGCAATTGATCATAATACTTTAGTTCAATAGGTGAAGGTAATTGTAAATTATCTATTGCGTGCACCCCACGTTTTTCGTTTTAAATCTTACAAGTATTTTTACCCTCCACATATTAATAAATTAGGCCTATTTTCTACTATTTAGTGGGTTTAAAAACGTTTTGTTTTAAAAAAGTTTTTTATTTATAAATTATTTTATATGGTGTTTTTGGCCTCTGGAGATGTCAACACGAAGAAGTAAATATGGTCCGGATCTATGTCTTACCATGAAACCTACGGTAATAGCTTATTCCCTATGGTCAATTTACCAAAACAGCTCTGATTACAAAAAATATTGTATAATGTCGTATGTCAAACTTGTTTAAAACAATCAGGTCTATTGGAAACTTAAATTAACTAGAATGCTTTGTGGCTACTTAAAATTTAGTTCTAATTTCATCACATTTATGTTGGTCTTACCCATTAAAGAAACATGAAAAATGCTGGACGAGTTGTCTACTACTTTCATGTTAAGTTGGTGAGCATCATATTTTCCGGACCTAAAAGAATCCGCTAGATTAGTATGTTTAAGATTAGAAATTTAGTAGGCTGGCTACCTCTTATTTTATGTTCAAATCTCTACCGGTACCCATTTCTATGTAGGCATAATATGGTTTGTAACAGTGTTCAATACACTATGAATTGTAATTTTAAATCTATTGTACTAAACGCTTTAGTTCTCAACTAGGTCTATGAAATTTCACTGCACTAGAAAAATGTGGCTTCAATTTTACTGGAACCAAAATAGAGAACCATTCAATAAAAAGCTTCTTTGGCTATGTCACAATTCTTTTTTTGTAGAATAAAAAAATGGTTAAAATATACAATGAGTCAGTGTTTGGCTTGAGATTACTTACCGTATGCATAAAAACCATGTAACAGGAAGTTTAACGAGTAAAAAAACGATATGACTAGAGAGAAGGAAACTGCTACAAACAAAAAATATTTATTTCTAAAATTTCTAAAATCCTACTGACTTTTGTCTAGATAAAGGTCGATGTTTAAAAATCTGTTTGAAGATAATGTTGTTTTTAACGTTTATAAAGCATGAGGTTTCATTTTGAATTGGACTTATCAACAATTTAAATGCCCAGGTTATTTTTTTATTATAAAAACATACTTACATCATGTTGTATGAATTTTCAGTGACATTGTACTCAGGAACGAATGGTTCTGCAATTGCAGAGTTGAAATCATAAACGGTGCAAGAGCAGGGTGATTCTCTATCTGTAAAAATATGTTTTTGATTTAAGTTTTTTTGTTACTTATTTTATTTTACTACTAAGGAAAGAAAAAAGAAGTATTAAAACATGAACCCAAAAAAAAAACTCGTCCGACTGTTGGAAGCTGTATTATACTCAACCTTGGCTCAATTTTTAGTAAGTTAGGCTACAAAACGTTTTTGTTGATATTCAGATTGGGAGGAAAGAGGTAAAATGTTTAAAAGTTTTAGTTTTCACTTTTTTTAAATGCAGGGCCGTATTTCCCTAATGAATACTGAGATAATTGATTAAGAAATTAATTATATCTGGCCCGGACCTAAGACTCCTAATAGTATTATTTAAAAAATAACAGACTTATTTATTAGCTAGTCTCCTAGGTCTTCTTCTGATCGGTCTTTTTTGATTGTTGGAAACAAAAGGTCAATTCATCAAGTTGAAACAATACCACGTTTATTTATAAACTCATAAGTTCTAACCTTCCCAATCAGAAAATAGAGGGGCCTCTTTGGTGAGAGCCGCCAGGGGCCGCATGGATCTGAAATACAGCCCTAGTAAAATGTGGTCATTCCTATCTGTTAAAAAAACTAGATACAATAATTTATTCTCTTACAAATATGTTGTACAATGAACAACCTTACATTCTTCGAACATTGTTGTTTAGAAATATATAAATATTAAATATTTTGCACATCCTCAATGCGTAACTGGACCATCCTTTACAATTTCAGGGAACATGACAGCAAATTTGTTTATTTTATCCCCCTTTCAAATGTCCAAAGATAGCAACAAAACTGTACAATATTGAACCACATACC